CATGTATAAGCAAGTAGATGGGGTTGCCATGGGTTCTCCCCTAGGTGTCCTGTTTGCAAACTTCTACATGGGTACCATCGAGAAAAAAGTCTTAGTCGACATGAACTTGAAACCGGCCATATACGGCAGGTATGTTGACTAGTAACCAGAACGCATTTCTCTGTCTACTATGCAAGGCCCGATTTGCCTAATAAGCCAAGTTTTTATGAATTAGTTATTTTTCGACTACCTAACCTAACCTAACCTAACTTTTTCGGCTACCTAACCTAACCTAACTTATAAAGATGGGTTAGGTTAGGTTAGGTAGGGTTGGTTAGGTTCGGTCATATATCTACGTAATTTTAACTCCAATAAAAAAAATTGACCTCATACATAATGAAATGGGTAGCTTTATCATTTCATAAGAAAAAAATTAAAGAAAATATATTATTTCAGGAAAACTTGGCTTATTAGGCAAATCGGGCCTTGCATAGTAGGCTGAGAAGTGCGTTCTGGCTATTAGGTACGACATATATATGTATATATATATATATATATATCGTACCTAATAGCCAGAACGCACTTCTCAGCCTACTATTCAAGGCCCGATTTGCCTAATAAGCCAAGTTTTCATGAATTAATGTTTTTTCGTCTACCTAACCTACCTAACCTAACCTAACCTAGCTTTTTTTGGCTACCTAACCTAACCTTACCTATAAATATAGGTTAGGTTAGGTTAGGTAGGGTTGGTTAGGTTCGGTCATATATCTACGTTAATTTTAACTCCAATAAAAAAAATTGACCTCATACATAGAGAAAAGGGTTGCTTTATCATTTCATAAGAAAAAAATTATAGTAAATATATTAATTCAGGAAAACTTGGCTTATTAGGCAAATCGGGCCTTGAATAGTAGGCTGAGAAGTGAGTTCTGGCTACTAGGTACGACATATATATATATATATATATATATATATATATATATATATATATATATATATATATATATATATATATGTCGTACCTAGTAGCCAGAACTCACTTCTGAGCCTACTATGCAAGGCCCGATTTGCCTAATAAGCCAAGTTTTCATGAATTAATTGTTTTTCGACTACCTAACCTACCTAACCTAACCTAACCTAACTTTTTCCGCTACCTAACCTAACCTAACCTTTAAAGATAGGTTAGGTTAGGTTTGGTAGGGTTGGTTAGGTTCGGTCATATATCTACGTTAATTTTAACTCCAATAAAAAAAATTGACCTCATACATAATGAAATGGGTTTCTTTATCATTCCATAAGAAGAAAACTAGAGAAAATATATTAATTCAGGAAAACTTGGCTTATTAGGCAAATCGGGCCTTGCATAGAAGGCCGATAAGTGCGTTCTGGCTACTAGGTACTTTCCGATGGCCCGGAAAGTAGAGTTGGAAATTCTGTTGGACGACATATTCGACCTCGAGACACAAAAGAAGGTCACTACCAAAGATACCTTACAAGCAGAACTTATTGCAGAAGGAGGAAAGAATCGAGGCAATTACAGAAGCACCATACTGTCCCCCGAGCTTAAAGCGGCAGCTAAAAGCCTTCGTGAGAACAAGGAGATAGTTGTCAGGTGAGGTGACAAGTCGCCAATATATGTCATTCTTAAAAAAGACGAATATCTGGCGAAAATGAACATCATACTCTCTGACCAAACTAAGTTCCAAAGGGTAACGAAGAACACTACAGCCGAATTAAAAGCAAAGGTCAACAAACTGATCGAAACTGTGAACGCCAAGAAATCCGGACTCCACCTGCCAAAGATCATTGGGGAATATAAACCTGGATATGCGTATGGAAATGTCAAGACACACAAGCCTGGAAACCCACTTCGGCCAATCATTAGCCAGATACCCACACCCACGTACAGACTGGCGAAGCGACTCAACGGCCTGCTGACTCCTTATGTTCCTTGCGCCTTCAGCCTGAAGTCTCCAAAGGAATTTGTTGACTTACTGCGGGGCACACGGGCCACAGGGATAAGAGCCTCGTTGGACGTAGAATCGCTGTTTACCAACGTACCTGTGGACGAGACAATCGGAATGATAGCCGACAGAGTGTATCGTGATCCAGCCTGTACTCCTCTTGACATACCAGAAAATATTCTGAGGAAACTACTCCAAGCTTGTACTAAAGAGGCACCCTTCTTGAGCCCGGATGGGCACATGTATAAGCAAGTAGATGGGGTCGCTATGGGTTCTCCCCTAGGTGTCCTGTTTGCAAACTTCTACATGGGTACCATCGAGCAAAAAGTCTTAGTCGACATGAACTTGAAACCGGCCATATACTGCAGGTATGTTGATGACATTTTTACACAGGTACCTGATGTCAGACATCTGCAGGAGCTGAAGGAGGCATTTGAGCAGAGTTCTGTGCTGCGTTTCACTTACGAGATGGAAAAGGATGGGAAGCTGCCCTTTCTAGATGTAACAGTCATGGAAAAGGGCGGAGGTTTCCACACTGCAGTCTACACTAAGGAAACAAACATAGGAATGTGCCTAAATGCCAACAGCGACTGCCCAGACAGGTACAAGAGGAGTGTTGTTAACGCATATGTCGACCGTGCTCTCAGCCACAGCTCAGAATGGAAGCAAGTCGACGAAGAACTCTGTAGGGAAAGGCAGGTCCTAGTCAATAACGGCTTCTCCAATGGTTTCGTCGAAGACATCATAAGAAGGAAAGTGAAAAGCCATGCAACCTCTGAAGAGACAACTAACACAACACCTATACCCCCTATTAGACTATTTCACAGGAACTTCTTTTCCACAGCTCATAAAACGGAGGAAAGGGTCCTGAAAGATATTGTTAATAGAAACGTTATCCCTACAGACAAAAATCAGAGGATACAACTGACGATTTACTATAAACCAGAAAAACGGCCAGCCTACTCATGAGAAACTCTCCAGACACAAAACAGAACGCTTTAAAAGAGACTAACGTCGTCTATGCCTTCAAATGCCCTCTTGGGGACTGTAAGCTCCAAAAAACCCAGTATATAGGCAAGACAACAACATCTCTTTCTAGGCGTTTAACGATGCATAAGCAACAGGGCTCCATTAAGGAACATATAATCTCTTCCCACAACCAAACCATCGCCAGAGAAATCCTAGTAAACAACACAGAAATCATCGATAGATACAGCGATAGCAGGCGGCTTGACGTTTGCGAGGCACTACACATCAAGAAGTCAACACCAGCAATCAACAGCCAATTATTGCAGAACTATATTCTACCCACCTCAAGACTCCGCTCCAATATAGAAGCATCAAGAAATATGTACCAATAGGCTTTCTACAAACACTTCTATTCAATATCCATTGTTTCGTGTTCTGTCTAGTGTTGATGAAATTAATACCCTATTAATACCACTTTTTGTTCTGTCTTGTGTTGATGAAATTAATACCCTATTAATGCCACATCTTGTTCTGTCTTGTGTTAATGCCACATCACCCCTTCCACCTCACTCAAATGTAGATATAAAATCGGAGATGCGTAAGTTCTATTCAGTTCTGTATTTGTGAACTAAAGTGTTTGAAAATGTAATAAGTTTTACGAAACGCGCTCGTGTCGCGTCAGACTAGAAATAAAAATGAATTTTGGAGAATTGATTTTTGATTTACCTCCAACAGTGAAAAGAAATGTACGAAAGATTGAGGAAATTCGTGTTAGAATTATTAATCTTACTTTTTCGGTCATATTTAATAATATATATATATATATATATATATATATATATATATATATATATATATATATATATATATATATATATATATATATATATTGATGGAAAAGAGAAGTGTAGGTGTTCGGCAGTCCTCCTAATGGCTGGTGTCAATGCCAATCACATTTGCAAAAAAAAGTTGACTGCTTGGCTGTTGCCTTCTTTGGTAAAGTAAGGGAAAACACGCAAAACAAATAGTATGAACAATGAAACTTTAATTAACTTGAAAATAAATTATGAACAAAGACAATCCCTTGGCTATGTACAGTGCAAACAAACAAGATTATAAAGTAAAAAAATAACATAAAATAAAACAGTGGTGATGTTACTCTACAATGAATAAAGACAAGAAATGAATTAACAGGTGCTGAGAATAAAGCGCTGGCTGAGAACATCCACTAATAAACAGAGCGTATATCAGATGGTTATATCAGCTTTGAGAGCACAGGATATTCTAAATCCAATGGCTTGTGCTTGCTCAGTCATCGGGTATGTAGATGACACTGAAGTGCAGAGGTGAAGAGGTCGATTCACCAATCAGAAGCGTGCTAGCTGGAAGTGGTGGTTTGGTGATCGACGAAGATGGAGGGGGGAGGTGGAGAGCGATTGTCTGATACGTATGCGCTTGGCAGAAACATATTTTACTCAATACGTACTACACTTGCTTGTAGTATCTAGATGTTGTAGATGTACTGAAGTAACATGATGATAGGAAAGAGCAGGCCAAATCTCTCTTGAAGGAGATTATCGTAACAGCTCTCCCCCGAAGCCTGCTCTTACGGGTTAAGTTACTTCAGTAGATGGTGTAGAGGTAGGAGTAGCTGTCTCTACCTCGTAGACTCTGGAGAGGGCGTCGGCTATGATGTTGTCTGAACCTTTGATGTAGAAGATCTCCAGATTAAAATTCTGCAAGTACAGAGCCAAGCGTAGAAGACGTTGATTGCTGAATTGGGCCTATTGTACGAACCGCAGGGGATTATGGTCTGAGTAGATGGTAATAGACTGATTCCCCTGAAGGTAAGGTTCGAAATGTTGCAGATTCAGGACGATGGAGAGGAGTTCCTTTTCTATAGTGCTGTAGTTCTTTTGATGGGGCTTCAACTTGTAGCTGTAGTAGCTGACAGGAAGAACCCCCTCGCCTCGTTGTTGCATTAGGACGCCCCCGATGCCGAGACCACTGGCTTCGATATTGATGATAAAGGGCTTCGTAATATCTTGAGAGGCGAGAATGGGATCAGAACATAGCAGAGGAGCACTATTACAGTCCTGTAAATTTTTAAGAAGATCATTAAGGATTTCCGAGTTGGAAGGCACTAACTCAGAGTCAGTGCTTTCCGGAGGAGAAGCAGGGAAGGTCTCACTGTGGAGGTATAGATCTTTGAAAGTGGAGAGTGATATTAGCACAGTGGGGGAATACCTTTATACTCCTTTAGAAGATTGACGTGGCACAACTGGGTTCTCCGCCGCCTATCTGGAGTCTCAAGAACGTAGTTGTGGTTGTTTCTACACTCCTTGATGCGGTAGGGTCCTGAAAACTTATTTTGCAATGGAGAACCTGGGATCGGAAAATATGCCAACATGAAGTCTCCTGTTTTAAATTTCCTGGTTTTACTGCGTTGGTCAAAATGAGTCTTCATCCTATTTTGAGCTTTCAATAGATTGTCATTAGCAAATTTACGTACTCTCTCTAGAAGGTGCTTTAAGTTTTGAAAAAAACTGGGGCACATTCTGAGGGTCACTGAAGGTGGCACTACGTGAGAGTCTTTAAAAGCTTTAAGAGGAGTCCGGCACTTACGTCCGTAGAACATCTCATAAGTAGATACTCCTAGAGACTCATTTGGGAGACTTCTGAAAATGCACATGATGATGTCAAGTTGTTTATCCCAGTCTTTCATGGTTTCATTCAAAAATTTCTTTAGGAATGATTTAATCGTTTGGTGACTACGTTCAAGAGAACCCTGTGAAGCAGGATGATAGGGGCTGGACAATACCTGAGTGATGTTGAATTCATCCAGTGTCTTCTTGAAGAGATCACTGGTGAAGTTGGTGCCACAGTCACTTTGAATCTCCCGAGGAAATCCGTATTGGGTAAAGATCTTCAATAGTTGTTTCACCACCGTAGCAGCCGTAATGTTCTTTATAGGAACTGCTATGGGGAATCTGGTGGTTACACACAGGATGGTTAGTATATAAGCGTTGCCAGAACTGGTCCGGGGTAAAGGGCCAACACAGTCTATGATGAGTCTGTGGAAAGGTTCCGCAGGCACCGGTATAGGAATTAAAGGAGCCTTGGGAATCGGGATGTTAGGTTTTCCTGCCATCTGACATATGACACTGTTGTACGTAACTTTTGACATCTTTAACCATACCTGGCCAGTAGTAGTCTTGTCTGATTCCGTGATAGGTTTTATTAAAACCATAGTGAGAAAGCGCTCCGTGGGCCTGGTGTAGAATATCGGGCTGTAGGCTGGTGGGAACTACTAGTTGGTCGACATTAGCCCAATCGTCATCCTCCGTCAGCTTACTGGGTCTGTACCTGCGGTAGAGCAACTGATTCTCTAGGAAGAACCCAGGGATACTGTCAGGTTGAGTCTCAGCCTGGAAGAATAATGGTGTTAATGTAGGATCCTCCCTCTGTAACTTACGGAACTCCAACATAGTAAGATTCGGTGGTAGATTCTGATGGTCTTGAGGGACAGCAGTTGCAGTAGAGTCAGCTGGTTGCGGGCGTGCAGCTTGCGCACCGGTGGTCACCAAAACCGGAGGAGAGACTTCATCACTTTCTTGGACCTCTGCTGGAACATACTTTAATATGGGGTTGTCCACTACAGAGTCACATACCTGGGGGTTTGTCCATGATGATCAGGTTGGAAGGTTGCAGATCTTCGGCCAAGTCATTGCCCAGGAGAAGTTGTACCCCTGACAGGGGAAAAGGCTTTTCCCTGATTGCGACTTGGACTTCACACGTCACGAAAGGACAATCCAGGTGGACTCTGGCGAGTGGATACGGAGTGGTAGCAGTAAGGTCAGTGATAAGGACGGTTTCCCCGGTGTAGGTGATGTTAAGCACAGCCGATTTCAATGTTATTGACTGAAGAGCCGCTGTGTCCCTCAAGACCTTCAATTTGAAACGTCCCTCCGAATCTGTTCTGTTGGCAGACAGTTCCAGGATACAGGTGTTTGCTGAAGAGAGAAAGATCATTAACAGGAACACCAACATTCATCACAGGCTTACCGGACTTAGGAGGAGTCAGTTTGGGTTTAGAAGTTTCACTATAGCCTATTGAGTCTATTTTCACTATAGCCTAGCCTATAAAAGCTTTCACTATTGGGCTTTTCCACATTTATCTATAGTATGTCCATAGAGCTTGCAATACTTACAATACAATTGAGAGCTCGCCTGATCGGTACTCACTTTGTCATAACTATACCAAGACTTCTTACTGGAAGGTGGGCCAAGTGTTAGCCCGGTGTATAAGGCTGTAGGTGTGAGCCGACTTCGCACATCTGATGTAGTCGGTTTCTTCTTTGTCTGCTAAATATAAACGGATGGGAGGTGGAGCACGTCTAAAGAATTCCTCAACTAGAATGAGGTTGACGAGTTCTGAAAATGTAGAGACATGTGCTGCTTCCAGCCATTTCAGCAAATATCTTTTCTTTGTATTGGCAAATTCTAAAAAAGGTGGTGGTACTTGCCTTTAGATAATCACGGAATTTTCGTCTGTAGCTTTCGGTGGAGAGAAAGTAGGCGTCTAAAACTGCTTGCTTCAGGGTCTGGTAATCATTCTCAGATGCTAAGGTGCTGAGAGTAATCGCAGCTCTACCTGTGAGATGAACTCTGAGAAGGGTAGACCATTGATCATCAGGCCAGCTAAGTTTTTTAGCTAGGGTCTCAAAAGTAGTAAAAAACACACATCTATCTCTGTCTCAACGAATGGTGGCATTAACTTACTGGTATAGGAGACATTGAAGCTTACTGGGAGACTAGCTGTAGCTTGTTGTCACTGAGTGTGGTGTGTAGTTTTCAAGGTGAGTTCTTGTCGACGATATTCTAAAACACGCTCAGCTTGCTGTTTATCGTGCTCACGTTGTATCTCCAAGTCACGTTTTCTTGTTTCAAGCTGTACCCTCACACGCTCACGTTGTATGGCAACATCTCGTTCCTGTTCTTCTTTATTCAGGGCAGCCTCTTCTCTCTTTATCTGGAGAACTTCTTTCTGTTGTTGTAGAGCTTCTTTTTGTTGTTCCCGCTCTATTTTCGTTAGTTCGAGCTTTAACTTCATAGCTGCCAGAACATGTCTGTCTGCAATAGGATAGTTTTCGTGAGCATCAGAGTTTATAATTCCTTCATCTTAGAGGTGATCCAGGATAATATTGTGCAAGTCATTTTTGTTGGCTCCATGGGGAACATCTAGTTGATACTCATGTGCTAGAGGAACTATGGCCCTCTGTATCCTCCTTTGGTCGGATTACAGAAGATAGGGTGCGTGGCCCGAAGACAAATCAAAGTACCAGGGTACCAAAATGATGATCTGCCGTAATTTGAGAAATATCCTAGGGACAAAAACAGGTGGAATACACGAGTAATAACACTGAGGGAGGGATGACCAATTAAGAGAATGACTGAGGCCTCCAGTCACCACGTAATCCACAGTTATCCAACACTCACAATATGTTACCCTCGGAATGCACAAAATACACAGCACCATATAAATATTAAAAGTAATGAAAATGTTGAAAAGCAACTGTATCAAAGCCAAGTACACTTACCACAAATTGATGTTCTAGTACTAGTACCTGAGTGAGGCTCCCGGACAGGCTCCCATTAAAGGTGATGGAAAAAGGAAGTGTAGGTGTTCGGCAGCCCTCCTAATGGCTGGTGTCAATGTCAATCACATTTACAAAAAAAAGATGACTGCTTGGCTGTTGCCTTCTGTGGTAAAGTAAGGGAAAACACGCAAAACAAATAGTATGAACAATGAAACTTTAATTAACTTGAAAATAAATTATGAACAAAGACAATCCCTTGGCTATGTACAGTGCAAACAAACAAGATTATAAAGTAAAAAAATAACATAAAATAAAACAGTAGTGACGTTACTCTACAATGAATAAAGACAAGAAATGAATTAACAGGTGCTGAGAATAAAGCGCTGGCTGAGAACATCCACTAATAAATAGAGAATATATCAGATGGTTATATCAGCTTTGAGAACACAGGATATTCTAAATCCAATGGCTTGTGCATGCTCAGTCATCGGGTATGTAGATGGCGCTGAAGTGCAGAGGTCGATTCACCAATCAGAAGCGTGCTGGCTGGAAGTGGTGGTTTGGTGATTGACGAAGATGGACAGGGAAGGTGTAGAGCGAGTGTCTGATACGTATGCGCTTGGCAGAAACGTATTTTACTCAATACGTACTACACTTGCTTGTAGTATCTAGATGTTGTAGATGTACTGAAGTAACATGATGATAGGAAAGAGCAGGCCAAATCTCTTTTGAAGGAGATTATTGTAACAATATATATATATATATATATATATATATATATATATATATATATATATATATATATATATATATATATATATATATATATATATATATATATTGTGACGGGAAAGTGTTGGAGTGTAGATGTTCGGCAGTCCTCCAATGGCAAGTGTCAATGCCTAGTCACACTTACAAAAAAAAAGATAGACTGCTTGCCTGTTTGTCTGTGGTAAAGTAAGGGAAGACACGCCAAACACAAAGTATGAACAATGAAACTTTAATTAATATAGAAAACAAATTATAAACAAAGACAATCCCTTAGCAATGTACAGTGCAAAAGAAGAAGTCAAAAACAATATAACATAAATAATAGGGTTGAAGTTACTCTACAATAATAATAAAGTTAAAGGTGAAAAAGAATTAGGTGCTGAGAATATGGCGCTAGCTGCGAGACATCCACCTGATACAGCATATATCAGTTAGTTGTTCACCGCTTGAGAGCACAAGGATATTCTGACTTCAATGGCTGGATCCAGCCCAGACATCGACTCAGGTAGAGGGCGCTGAGATGCAGTGTGCAGGTGTGCAGTCAGTGAGTCACCAATCAGGAGCAAGCAGGCTGGGAAGGGTAGTTGGCTGGTTGATGACGAGCCGGCGTGGAGGGAGTGGAGTTGGGGGTGAGTCTTGGGTACGTTTTGCCTCCTGGTCAAAACGTTTTGTGCTACTGGTAGGCGTATCTTGAAGGTAGCATCTTATTCTTGTATAAAATACGTAACTTCATGTAGAGAAGAGCAGGCTCAATCTCTTTTGAGAGAGATTATCGTCACAATATATATATATATATATATATATATATATATATATATATATATATATATATATATATATATATATATATATATACATGTTCTGCATATATATATGCAGAACAACCACATATGAAAAATGGTGAATGAATAATGAGAAAATATTTAACCATGAAGGAAAATGAGACAAAAAATTGGAGCACTTTCGTTTTAATAAAAAAAATCTAAAGTACAAACATCGAAATACAACACATGAATATATAGGCCAGAATGTGATTTGAGGTGTAAGACAATATCTTTGTATTTTTTGGTTTAGGAAAATCCTAATAATGAGCTTTTTCAGGGTGTAAAATCACGAGAAGGTGCACGAAACACGGTGGCAGATGTGATAAACGGTGTTCAGCAGGTGAACGTGAGGTCAAAAAGGCTTGTAAGGGCTCCTCCAGCTGCAGATGCTGCGCCCCGCACAAGACCAGTGAGTGTACTGTGCATGCTTTCTTTATCCTTAACATTATAGTACTGATATTACTTCATATTAGTTTGAGTTCTTCAACAGATTTTGTGGTATGGAAATGTGTTAATGTGACAAGCATCCCTATCTGCCAAAAACAAGACGAAACTCCGACGTTGCTGCAACGTTCGAACAACTTGTAACAAGTATCTAGCAACTTGTATAAACTTTCTAATATATCATAAATATTTTATAAAAAGATGTAATAACTTTGTAACAAAATGCAACAAGGTAACAATAAGAACCGTTACGTTGTGTGTTTGAAGGGTGGTGAGCTCAGACTTACATCATTTACATATTTCATCTTCTGATGACAGTTTGTGCCATTCATCTTGTCTTAAACATCTGAGGAGATTTTCATTATACGTTATTTATTTACATCCTATTACACTTTTTACAATATATTATTTGCTTAATGTTTAATTATATGAAACTTCCTCGTGACACTCAATCTTTTGTGTAGAACATACAATATTTATTATAATGTTGTAAGAATAATATGTGCTTCTAAAACGTGTGTTTTCCCATGTCCTGTTATTATGTTCGGTATTTCAGGCCACTGAAGACGTCTGTGACAAAGTTAGTTGTTCAGGTTGTTTACCGAAATTTGTCCTTATCTGCAACGAGTCTGTGTATTTGGACACTAAACTCTTAATTGATAATAGTTTCCAGAGAAACTGCTTATTGTTTTTAATTCTAAGTTTAAAGCAAATGTACTATAGTTATGATGTTACAGTATTACAGTCAAGCTGTAACACACCTGCTTCGGTGAATTGACTATGTCAAAATATGATATGAAACTTTGAAAGTCTCTGATGTGAGTGAATTACAACTCATCAGGACAGGAAATGCTAGAGACAGTTCTATACATCTTTAACAGAAGAATATTCACTAGCTAAACCTTTTGATATTAAACAGGTATTATTCGTGTTGCGTAATAGATATGAACATTTAATCCATCATTTCAATATTAATCCTTAGGTATGAGAGCAAATTGACATTCTAAGTACACTTCAGACCAGAGCCGTTGGTTGAACATTTGTACAGGTACATGCCATAAAAATGACATACAACTATCTTATGAGTGAATACGATACCCGTGTCGTAATGGTAAAACACTAGCTCGGCGCTTCGCGAGCGTTTTGAGTTGGGTTCGTATCCTGGTTGGGAGGAGGGGATTTACTGGGGGTAAATCCTTAACTGATAGCCAATCCTTAACTGTTTACCCAGAAGTGAATGGGTATCTGGTTGTTAAATGATTTGGTGTGTCGTATTCCAAGGGAAAAAAATGGGTTAAGGTCCTGCCCAAAACCCTTTACATGCTAGTGGCTTTACAATAATGTAATGAATCTTGTATATATAAATAAATAACAACTAAATAAATGCAATCTGACAAAGATTTCTCAGAACGACAAATGTTTTCATTAATGAAATAAATTTTTGCAGAGTGCAAAACCAAGAAAAAGTGCAAGAAACAGCATGGAACCTGCAAGTCTAAGTGTGGTCGTGAAGAGCGAGAGATTAAGAAGGGTTGCAGGGGCAGCAAATGTCGGTGTTGTGCCGCCCACTACCACAGTACGTGTTGACTCTTCATATATTAATAATTGTCCCCTCATGTGCCACTATTATAAACATATGACTTGTATTCATAATTTACCATAACTGCAAGTATCTGTTGTTTATTGTCAAGTCGCATTACGTGCTACGTATTTTAATAACTGAAGACAATGGAATATGAGTATACCAATAGTTGATGTATATATAGGAACGATGTGCATTTAGGCTGTTAGTTTCCAGGTTGGTGTATGTTAACGATGTGTAGTTCGGAAGATGGTCTGTGCATTTTAATGATTTGAAGACAATGTATATATGTTTACGATGTCTAGTGAGCTGGGGAGTTACCAAGTTTTGGTGTTTGTTAACGATCTTTTAGTGTGTATAGATTAAGTTGTTGTTAAATAGTTACAAATTTATTACAAACAAAATAACGATGAGTAGTTGCAATGATAGTTTCTTAGCTGCTGCAAACAGGGTAACAATATATTGTTGGGGATATAGTTCACAGTTACATTACGTAAACCGACGATATCGGTCGCACGATTATCTATGTAAACTAACCAGATGTAGGTCGATGGGTGAGTTCTCATGCTGAAGAATGTATACCAATATTGTGCATCTGGTTTGATACTTTCCTACTCTTTATAAATATTGCATCAATGTGAAGCTGACGAGGAAAGTTCCACGTTCGTGTCTGCACAGCAATCACGAGCAGATATTTGGGTACTTCTCATGTTTGAGTCTGTTTAACAGACTTAAGTGTCCAAGTTAGTGTCTGTATATCATCGATGTATAGTTAGTTAGCTGGGTAGTATCTTAATTAGTGTATGTATAGTACCAGTGTATTGTTGACTTCGCAATTTCTAAGTTTGTGTCTGAATAGCAAAATTAAGAACACTATGCACTTTAGTAGGTGGTTCCTCAGCTGGTGTCTGTATATCAATGTATAACTGGATGGGGTAAGTTTTAAACTTGTGTCTGTATATCTTCGCTGTATAGTTGTTCCCAAGCTAGTGTCTGTATAGTAGCAATGTTTCGTTAGCTAGATATTAAGTGTGCAAATACCTGTATACATGGAAAGAATACCATACAATCACTCTTAATTATATTCATCACTGAACTGGCTTAGTGAGGGTAGTTAGTGTATTGAATAATAAACACTGCTATTGAGATTTTATACATTTTTAGGTGTGCATAAATGTATTGACCGTACAGCTTGATAAAATTCTGAAATTCTGTTGCATTTGTAGTTCTCTTTGTGATAAAATTTTCTTTATTCACAGCTGATTTGATAACCAATAAAAAATTCTTCAGTGCTGATTAAGTTAGATTAATGTGATATAAAATGTAAAACGAGCGCAAATTCTTTGATAATTTACTGGTGATTTTTTTTAAATTTTCTGGTGAGTTTTGATATTTTGTGAAGAGTTGAGATGATTGAACAGAGTGTAGGCGGTCTGAGCGGTGCGAGGAGAGCCGGGGAGTGTGCAAGTCTGCATGTGAGGGAGAGGAGCGTGAGGTGGTTGGAGGCTGTACTGGCCACGGCTGCAGGTGCTGCACCAGGCACCATCCCACCTGTCCTCACACCGCTGCCTGTCCAGGCATCTGTACACACAAGACGGACTGTCGCGTACCTCTCACCTATTACTATTGCTCAGGAGACGATTGTATCTGCTGTCAAGGTAAGTATCCAACATACACAAGTTTGATTGTATTCTATTGTTTCACACCCGAGAACTTTGTGTCTCACTGACAAACTGTTTAATGATGGAAAATTAGCAAATAACTATTTATAGACAAGCCTAATAAGAGAAAATGATCAGGTTATGTACTTTACTAACAATCATAAACTAAGTGATTTGACTAATGAGCAGATATATACAAAACTACAGTGGCAGAATAGTGATTGAAAGAGCACAAGAAATTACTAGGGAAAATTGTCAACCATGAGCAGGAAGTGGGAATGTTGATCAAATAGTTTCAGGGAGAAAGATTACAGAGAAGATATGTTAGAAAGATTGATGAGTTGTGTTCATGGCAGTGATGATCTTGAAACATTACAATACAAAGTTAACAGTACTCTCTAAAATGATGAACTAGTGTCATTCTGGACGTGTTCTTAAATGTGTGTAAGTTTTGTGTAAGAAGCACGGCATGTGTAAGTGTCAACGTTGCGATGACTGACAAGTGTGATAATATTGAAGAAGTAGGTCAGGGCTGTGTAGTTACACCCTGAGTAGTTAATGTATACATGGTAGAGAGACAAGTTAAAGTGCAAGTGAACACAAGCAATGTTTTGGTGGTGGAGAAAGTTGGAAATTATGAGAGACAGGGAAACAAACAGAAAAATGTAGAGACGAACAGACAACAACACACAGAGACAGAGGAAATTCAGACAGACAGAGACAGAGGAAATTCAGACGGAAAGAGATAGAGGAGAATCAGACAGACAGAGGTAGAGAGAGTAGAAAATAGCAGGGGAGAGGGAAATGTTTGACGAGAGGGAAGAAGAGAGACGAGATTGAGAGAGGAGATGAGAGGGGTGAGAGGTTTGAGAGAGGAAGAGAAGTTACAAGGGTGGAATAGGGGGAGAGATGGTGGAGAGGGAAGAAGAGGAGAAGAGAGGAGAGGGGCGAGATAGGGAGAAAATTGGGGTGGGGGGGCGGGGTGGAACAATGGAAAGAAGAGGAGATAGGGGAAAGAAAGATGGAAGAGAAATGGGGAAAGAGAGACCTGGGTGCAGCCGAGAACCTGTTAGAGGTTGGCTGCCAGATGGGGAAGGGAGGGAAGAGAGGGTAGAAGGGGAGGGGTAGCAAAATGTAGGTGAGGGGGGAAAGGAAGGAAAGACCTACCAGGGTAAAGTGCCAAACCTTTACGACTATATTGCACATGGAAGGAGGAAGGATAAAAATTTTGTTCCTCATCCCCTCGCCGGCACTCTGATGGTAATCTAGGGCATGGTATTTTATCAAATCACCTCATTCTTTGGGGCACACGTGAGGAACACAAACGCGAACAAGCCTGAACGGTCTCCAGGCATATATGCAACTGAAAACTCACACCCCAGAAGTGACTCAAACCCATACTGCCAGGAGCACTCTGCATCTGGCGTACAGGACACCTTAACCACTCAACCAACTTTTGTCCGGTTGTGTTGGTCGAGTGGTTAAGGTGTCCTGTACGCCAGATGCAGTGTGCTCCTGGCAGTATGGGATCGAGTCACTTCTGGAGTTTGAGTTTTAAGTTGTATATATGCCTGGAGACCATTCAGGCTTGTTCGCATTTGCGATCCTCACATGTGCCCCAAAGAATGAGGTAATTTGATAAAATACCATGCCCAAAATTACCATCAGAGTGCCAGCGAGGGGATGGGGAATTAGCCTCGGCTACCATCCTCTTTTGTCCGGTCGTGTTGGTCGAGTGGTTAAGGTGTCCTGTACGCCAGATGCAGAGTGCTCCTGGCAGTATGGGTTCGAGTCACTTCTGGGTGTGAGTTTTCAGTTGCATATATGCCTGGAGACCGTTCAGGATAGTTCGCATATATATATATATATATATATATATATATATATATATATATATATATATATATATATATATATATATATATATATATATATGTTGTACCTAGTAGCCAGAACGTCGTACTCGGCCTACTATGCAAGGCCCGATTTGCCTTATAAGCCAAGTTTTCTTGAATTTATATATTTTTCTGATTTTTTTCTTATGAAATGGTAAATCTGTCCATTTCATTATTTATAAGTTAATTTGTTGAAATTTGAGTTAAAACTAACGTAGATATATGACCGAAACTAACCAACCCTACCTAACCTAACCTACCCTATCTTAACCTAACCTAAACTAAAATAACTAAATCAATAATTTATGTTCCTAATATAATATAATATTAATATTTAAAATAAACCAATATGAAACAATTCATTGAAAATAAAAAAAATCACTTGGCCTATTAGGCAAATGGGGCCTTGCATAGTAGGCCGAGAAGTGCGTTCTGGCTATATAACGCATTAGAAGGGATGTTTGGATCCCCTTCAATACAGTTTCTATGTTCTTCTCTGCTACCACTCTCTTCCTTTGTGTTTTGTTGTGATTTATTATATATATAATGGTTGAAGATGTACATTAACGGGCACAACCTCAACACTGCAACAGGTACATTAACACCTACAACTGGCACCCCATCAACCACTGCAACTGGCACCCCATCAACCACTGCATCGCGTACAACATCAACCACTGCAACTGGCACCACATCAACCACTGCAACTGGCACCACATCAACCACTGCATCGCGTACAACATCAACCACTGCAACTGGCACCCCATCAACCACTGCATCGCGTACAACATCAACCACTGCAACTGGCACCACATCAACCACTGTAACGGGTTCAAAATCAAGCACTGCAACAGGTACAACATCGGCCACTGCAACTGGTACAACATCAGCCACTGCAACAGGTACAACATCAGCCACTGCAACTGGTACAACATCAGCCACTGCAACTGGTACAACATCAACCACTGCAACAGGTACAACATCAGCCACTGCAACTGGTACAACATCAGCCACTGCAACTGGTACAACATCAGCCACTGCAACTGGTACAACATCGGCCACTGCAACAGGTACAACATCAACCACTGCAACAGGTACAGGATCAACCACTGCAACAGGTACAGGATCAACCACTGCAACAGGTACAATATCAACCACTGCAACAGGTACAGGATCAACCACTGCAACTGGCACCACATCAACCACTGTAACGGGTTCAACATCAAGCACTGCAACAGGTACAGGATCAACCACTGCAACAGGTACAACATCAGCCACTGCAACAGGTACAGGATCAACTACTGCAACAGGTACAGGATCAACCACTGCAACAGGTACAATATCAACCACTGCAACAGGTACAGGATCAACCACTGCAACAGGTACAGGATCAACCACTGCAACGGGTACAACATCAACCACTGGCACACCATTAACCACCTCCACAACCACAACATCAACTACCACTTCCTCAACCACCACATCAATTACCACCTCCACAACCACAACATCAACTACCACCTCCACAACCACCACATCAACTACCACCTCCTCAACCACAACATCAACTACCACCTCCACAACCACAACATCAACTACCACCTCCACAACCAGCACATCAACTAGCACCTCCACAACCACAACATCAACTACCACCTCCACAACCACCACATCAACTACCACCTCCACAACATCAACAACCACCTCCACAACCACAACATCAACTACCACCTCCACAACCACCACATCAACTACCACCTCCACAACCACAACATCAACTACCACCTCCACAACCACCACATCAACTACCACCTCCACAACCACAACATCAACTACCACCTCCACAACCACAACATCAACTACCACCTCCACAACCACAACATCAACTACCACCTCCACAACCACCACATCAACTACCACCTCCACAACCACCACATCAACTACCACCTCCACAACCACAACATCCACTACCACCTCCACAACCACCACATCAACTACCACCTCCACAACCACCACATCAACTACCACCTCCACAACCACAACATCAACTACCACCTCCACAACCACAACATCAACTACCACCTCCACAACCACCACATCAACTACCACCTCTACAACCACCACATCAACAACCACTTCCACAACCACAACATCAACAACCACTTCCACAACATCAACTACTACATCAACATCCACAACGTCAACTACTACGACAACAACTACTACTACTACTACTACTACTACTACTACTACTACTACTACTACTACTACTACTACTACTACTACTACTACCACCACGAGCACTTCTACAACATCAACCACTACAGCTACATAAACTGCCACAGCAACAACCACTACAACAACTTAAACTTCCACAAAAACAACCACACTCAACTACCACACAATAAAAGACCAGAAGATCTAAAGCTTAAATTATATATCCACATTGTGCAAAGAGAATGCCTTACACATATCTGTAGGGGTGCCGTTGTCAGCCTCGCGAGAGCCCGAGGCGCCAGACTGTCCAAACTTGTATATGGCTAAGCACAGCTGGAGGCCGGGGAGCCAGACTTTTTAGACTTGCAGTCACGTATAAGGTTAGCCACAGCTCGAGGACTATGATGTTACCCACAGCTCGAGGACTATGATGTTAGCCACAGTTCGAGGACTATGATGTTAGCCACAGTTCGAGGACTATGATGTTAGCCACAGTTCGAGGACTATGATGTTAGCCACAGCTCGAGGACTATGATGTTAGCCACAACTCGAGGACTATGATGTTAGCCACAGCTCCAGCACTATGAGGTTAACCACAGCCCCAGGACTATGAGGTTAGCCCACATCTCGAGGACTATGAGCCAGATAATCTTGTCCCCTATCGTTTCCTTGTGAAATCCTAAACGTATAAGATGAGGTGAGCCTCCGTGACTTTGTGTTATCCTCAGCAACCGTCTTCTTCAATCATATATTTTAAAACTGTTTCATTCAGTTTTTTGTTCTTTGATAAAATTATAGGTCTAGACATATTATCCTCTCTGTTTTCCTTAGGTTTACAAACTCACTAGAGTCTCCTCCATTAAATAATCATCCTACCTGTTTCTTCCTCAGTAAGTTGCCTCTTCACTACGTTTCCTTTCACTATCTTCCTGGGTACCAAGCGCTTGGCAAACCTTGCGTAAATTCAGAGATAAAACCTAACTTAGTACTTATTTAGATAATTGTTAATGCAAAGTGCCTTATCTAACTATATTGGTTTTAATGGATGAATGTCCTAGCGCCTCGGACTCCGACAGGCCTTCTGGTTGGGGTCTGGTCAACCACCTAGCTGACTGGTATCTTGCAGTGCGATATATAAAACAACCGGGTTGATCAGGAATTCATTTGAGGGTTTAACAAGTTCCAGTTCGAACACCAAGAGGCTCGGCTAGTTATGCCCAACATGTACGGGAGGGTGATGAGAATTCTTGGGCTCTTAATATTATACAAAAAAATATTATTCCTAATGCTCGAATGCTTTTCAACGAAGCTTTTGCATATTTTGTTCTGCCTCCTAGTTTCGCAACGAGATATTTCTGTGACAGTCTTTAACATTTTGTTATATATGTAAACTATTATGCATCTCTCTCGAGCAACATCAAAAGAGTAGACATTTTATGCGGTCTGACTAATTTAGGTGTTTTATTGAGTGTATTTATGCGGTTTAGTAAGAGCTTTACACGCTCTCTCGGTTAGCAATGGGTCTGTCATGACACCTGTCCTAACCAAGTCTAATCTCCGTCGTTATCTTCGTTATTCTCTACAGTCTGGAACAGAATTATAGCTCAAAACGTCGCTGTACTAATTCCTTTCTAGGTTCACTCTTGATCAATAGCCCCCACCTGACACCTGATCCCCATCCCCCAGCTGGCACCTGATCCCCAGCCCCCAGCTGGCACCTGATCCCCAGCCTCCAGCTGGCACCTGATCCCCAGCCTCCAGCTGGCACCTGATCCCCAGCCCCCAGCTGGCACCTGATCCCCAGCCTCCAGCTGGCACCTGATCCCCAGCCCCCAGCTGGCACCTGATCCCCCAGCCTCCAGCTGGCACCTGATCCCCAGCCCCCAGCTGGCACCTGATCCCCAGCCCTCAGCTGGCACCTGATCCCCAGCCTTCACCTGTCACCTGATCCCCAGTCCCAAGCTGGTCCCTGATCCCCGGCCTCCAGCTGGCACCTGATCCCCAGCCTCCAGCAGGCACCTGATCCCCAGCCCCCAGCTGGCACCTGATCCCATGCCTTCAGCTGGCACCTGATCCCATGCCTTCAGCTAGCACCTGATCCCCAGCCCCTACCCTGATACCCAGCCCACAGGCTGGGACTGTGGGCTCCTGATCCCCAGCCCCCAGCTGGCACCTGATCCCCAGCCCCCAGCTGGAACCTGATCCCCAGCCTCCAGCTGGCACCTGATCCTCAGCCCCTACCCTGATCCCCAGCCCACAGGCTGGGACTGTGGGCACCTGATCCCCAGCCCACAGCTGGCACCTGTTCTCCAGCCCCTACCTGGCTCCTGATCACAAGCCCCAATCTGCCTCCTGATCCATAGCCCTCAGCCAGCCTCTAGCTGACTGCTGATCTCTAAGCCTCACCTGACTTCTGAACACCAGCCCTCAGCTGCCACCTGATCCCCAACGCTCACCTGGCTCCTGATATCCAGCCCTCACCTGGCGCCTGATCCCCAGCCGTCACCTGGTTCCTGATCCCTAAACTTTACCTGGTTTCTGACCTATATCCAACCGCTGGTACAGGATTCGCAACGCCCCCCCTAGCTGTCTTTCCTGATCCACAGCCTCCAGCTGGCACCTGATCCCTAGACCCCACCTTACTCCTGATCGCCAGGATCCAGCTGGCACCTGATCCTCAGCTTCCAGTTGACACCTGATCCTCAGCCTCAAGCTGACACCTGATTTCTAGCCTCCAGCTGGCACCTGATCTCATGCCTCCAGCTGGCACCTGATCCCCAGCCTCCAGCTTGCACCTGATCCCCAGCCTCCAGCTGGCATCTGATCCCCAGCCTCCAGCTGGCATCTGATCCCCAGCCTCCAGCTGGCATCTGATCCCCAGCCCCCAGCTGGCACCTGATCCCCAGCCTCCAGCTGGCATCTGATCCCCAGCCCCCAGATGGCACCTGATCCCATGCCTTCAGCTGGCACCTGATCTCATGCCTCCAGCTGGCACCTGATCCCCAGCCTCCAGCTGGCATCTGATCCCCAGCCTTCAGCTGGCATCTGATCCCAAGCCTCCAGCTGGCACCTGATCCCCAGCCTCCAGCTGGCATCTGATCCCCAGCCTCCAGCTGGCACCTGATCCCCAGCCTCCAGCTGGCACCTGATCCCCTGCCTCCGGCTGGCACCTGATCCCCAGCCTCCAGCTCTCACCTGATCCTCACCCTCCAGCTGGCACCTGATCCTCAGCCTCCAGCTGACACCTGATCCTCAGCCTCCAGCTGACACCTGATCCTCAGCCTCCAGGTGGCACTTGATCCCCAGGCTCCAGCTAGAACCTGATCCCCAGCCTCCAGCTCTCACCTGATCCTCAGCCTCCAGCTGACACTTGATCCTCAGCCTCCAGCTGGCACCTGATCCTCAGCCTCCAGCTTGCACCCGATCCTCAGCCTCCAGCTGGCACCTGATCCCCAGCCTCCAGATGGCACCTGATCCCCAGCCTCCAGCTGACACTTGATCCTCAGCCTCCAGCTGACACCTGATCCTCAGCCTCCAGCTGGCACCTGATCCTCAGCCTCCAGCTGACACCTGATCCTCAGCCTTCAGATGGCACCTGATGCCAAGCCTCCAGCTGGCACCTGATCCCCAGCCTCCAGCTGGCACCTGATCCCCAGCCTCCAGCTGGCACCTGATCCTCAGCCTCCAGCTGGCACCTGATCCTCAGCCTCCAGCTGACACCTGATCCTCAGCCTCCAGCTGACACCTGATCCTCAGCCTCCAGCTGGCACCTGATCCCCAGCCTCCAGCTGGCACCTGATCCCCAGCCTCCAGCTGGCACCTGATCCACAGCCTCCAGCTGGCACCTGATCCACAGCCTCCAGCTGGCACCTGATCCACAGCCTCCAGCTGGCACCTGATCCTCAGCTTCCAGCTGGTACCTGATCCCCAGCCTTCAGCTGGCACCTGAACCAATGCCTCCAGCTGGCACCTGAACCAATGCCTCCAGCTGGCACCTGAACCCATGCCTCCAGCTGGCACCTGAACCCATGCCTCCAGCTGGCACCTGAACCCATGCCTCCAGCTGGCACCTGAACCCATGCCTCCAGCTGGCACCTGAACCCATGCCTCCAGCTGGCACCTGAACCCATGCCTCCACTTTTTTACTTGCCAACATCTTGGTCCTGATTCCTGGAGCAGTAACGCAAGTGCTAAAGATAACTTTTCCTTCTCATATTGTTCTTGGCGGATACATACCGATTCAACAATCTGTTTACTAACGCCGAATTTTCTAACACGCCTTCACACCAACATATTTCCGGAGCACTCGTTCATGTCCAGATCAGAGACCGGGCCGCGGGGAGGTTGATCCCCGAAATCAACGCAAGGTATATCTTTGCGTATACCATACATAAGTTATGTTTTCTGACTACAAAATCAAGAAATGGAAATATGTCTGTCAGGAAGTTCATCATGTTAGCTATTAATTATCTTTGCATCTGTATCTTGTAATAAATATCTCTAATATGAACAAATAAATATATTAATCTTAGCAAGATATTATGTCAATTGTTATTAAGTAAATAAACAAAGCTGAACATTGCATATCAAAGAAGCTTATTATTTCTAACTCCGTCGTAACCTAGGCATAATTCTTCTGTCTAACCCTAATTGCTAATCCTCGGTGTGTCTCACATTTTTATTGTTTCACATTTTTATTGTTTCACATTTTTATTAAATAAATATTTAATAAAATATGCAAATAAATATTATCACAGCACCATATTACAATAAAAAGTATTAGGTAAATAGAATCTGCTAAACATATTAGTAGTGACCTTTGTCGAGACGGAAGTGAACTACAGCCAGATCCCAAATAACTGGGCAAAACACCTTGGTGAATCCTACCCGGGGGATTCTTACAGAGTTCCTAAGAACCTTCGTGAAACAGCACATTAAGAAGGTATACAAGATACTTAGTGACGCTTGTTCTCAAGTGGCAAAACTTTCATGTTTTCTTTGTCAGTTTTTCTTGTGTTTATCACTTGGGTTTTCGTAAATTGCTTTATATTGTATTATTACTTTTAAATTTTATGTTTAATAAAGAGCATTCACGTCAATCGACTTTAATTCTGTCCTATTCTTGTAAAGATTTGTGAAATGCATTTGTTGTTCTATAGATAAACATAATAATAGGTGGGTACCACCTCTGGTGCAATTATAGGGGCCCACAGCCTCAAAGAAGGGAACACAGAGCATTCAGAGAAAAACTTGCCATTTAACTCTGAATACGTATGAGTGTTCGCTTTTCCTACCACCCCCCTTTTTTATTGTGTACACTTTATTATGCAAGATTATACAGTTACATATCTGATTTTATACAAAAAATAAACATTGAGAGGACACAAGAAAAAGTTCGCTTCCTAGAGGCTGTAGATTTCCTCGAACTCCTCCGACGTCGGGCAGGAACCGAGGATGCAGCGGGCATTTCCCTTCTGGATTGCGACACTGAGGCGCTGAGAGAGTAAATTTGCCGTTCAAGGGTCTCTTGTAGTGTCAATGAGCTTGGAACCAAGATCCTTAAGAATCCTTCTAGCACTCTCTCCCCATGGGCCTCGGGTCTCAGACCCTATTGGCACGAAGTTGTACCGACGATCTAATTGCCTGTACTTGGCTGACTTGTGTCCTGGTCTGTGTGTCGCCGCGGCTCCTGCTTGGCCGGCAGAGAGGTTGATGTATGTGGTTGCCAGGGTGGATACACAAGTATAGTCCCATGCCAACTGTCTGCCACCCTTCCACGGGCGCAGTGTGATTCCGTCTGGTCGGCCGGCAAAGTTAACAGAGTCACGGTTCAGCAGGTTGCGGGGGGCTCTCTCTCCGCTGGACACTGAGCAGAGGCAAGGCTTGTTTTAATGATTTCATTGACTTCGTCGTGTCTAGTGTGCCAACCACCAGATTTTCCACAGTGTAGGCCATGCAATCCATATTCGTCAGCATCTGTCTCGCCACAAATGCACCTATGAACAGTGTGGATAGGGGCAGCAAGGCGGAGAGCGACTGCAATATGGAGCTCCTGCGGATCAAGACATGTGCCTGTCGCAGACATAGGGACTGCCAAAAGGAAGTCCCCTGCATGGGGAGATTGCACAGCTGTGAGGCGTGCAGGATCACTGGGCGTTGTTGTTGCCTCCAGCAAAGCTGTGGCTTCTATATCTACAATGGGGCTGTCCCAACTGGATTGTTTCTTGGCTTTCGGCATGGCTGGTCTGAGTGCTGGGTCTGCCATGGCACCCCATTTCGTGTCGCATTCCATGTAGTGGGGGTCCTGTATTCCCGCTACATCACTCAGGGTGTCAGGTAGAATTTCCTTAACCAGGTCATCTGATGCTGAGGAGGAAGACAGGAAGGCTGGGACAGCACTTTGGGTGGCGGTGCGGACACCCAAGCCACCGAGCCTGACAGAAAGAGTGGCTTGTTTCCACTGGCATTCGTTGAAGGAGAGGTTAACAACTTTTTCTAGCAAAGTCTTCAGTAAGAGGTCATACTCTTCAAGCTTTCGGTTGTCGTATGATGGGGCGCACCTCAGAAAGTAGGTTAGCCTCGGAAGGGATAGGCATTTGGTGAGGAGATATAAAGCATCGTGGGTATCGATGTCACCTATTCTGTCTTCCATCCTCCTAAAGTTTGTGATTTTCTTGTCAAGGATCTCCTCAATGGCGTTAGACCCGAGGGGGGCTCCAAGGAGGGTGCTGTTCTCAGCCCTAATGACATGGGCTCCAGGCAAAGCAGACCTTATTCTAATAATTATCTTAAAATTATTATTAATACTTATTATTAACATAATTATGTTAATTATAAATATGTTATGTTAACATAATAAACTTATTACTAACATAATAATTATCTTAAAAAATTATATAATATTTATAACCCCTGTTCTGCTGATGAGAGTGCTTTTGTAGCTCTTCACTTTTGTATTACAGGTCAAAAAGTCGTGATAATTTTTATTTTGAATTGTCTTTGTGCGATGTAAAAATTGCATATAAGTTTTATATGAAAAATAATGGTTTCTCCAATGGTTTCGTTGAAGACATCATAAGAAGGAAAGTGAAACGCCATGCAACCTCTGAAGAGACAACTAACACAACACCTATACACCCTATTAAACTATTTTACAGGAACTTCTTTTCCACAGCTCATAAAACGGAGGAAAGGGTCCTGAAAGATATTGTTAATAGGAACGTTATCCCTACAGACAAAAATCAGAAGATAAAATTGACGATTTACTATAAAACCAAGAAAACGGCCAGCCTACTAAGGAGAAACTCTCCAGACACAAAGCAGAACGCTTTAAAAGAGACCAACGTCGTCTATGCCTTCAAATGCCCTCTTGGGAACTGTAAGCCTAAAAAAACTCAGTATATAGGCAAGACAACAACATCTCTTTCCAGGCGATTAACGATACATAAGCAACAGGGCTCCATTAAGGAACATATAATCTCTTCCCACAACCAAACCATCACCAGAGAAATCTTAGCAAACAACACAGAAATCATCGATAGATACAGCGATAGCAGGCGGCTTGACATCTGCGAGGCAATACACATCAAGAAGTCAACACCAGCAATCAACAGCCAATTAATGCACAACTATATTCTACCCACTTCAAGACTCTGCTCTAATATATAGAAGCATCAAGAGATATGGGCCAATAGGCCCTCTGCAATTACTTCCATTCATACCTTCAATACCCATTGTTTCGTGTTCTATCCTATGTTGAAAGTTTTGTTCACCTCATTCAAAACTGTTGTAACATATCACCTCACTCAAAATGAGGGTATAAAATGAAAAATGAAAGCTGTTTAAATCATAGCATAAGTAAGAACTCTGTTTAGTGTTTGCAGGTAATAGTTGTGTGTGTGTAAACTAAAAGTCTTTGAAAATGTAATAAGTTATTACGAAACGCGTTCAAGTGTCGCGTCAGACTAGAAATAAAAATGAATTTTGGAGAATTGATTTTTCAATTACCATCAACAGTGAAAAGAAACATAAGAAAGGTCGAGAAAATTCGTGTTAGAATTATTAATCTTACTTTTTCGGTCATATTTAATAATATATGTCTATAGGAAAGACATCTACCAAAATATACAAATATATATATATATATATATATATATATATATATATATATATATATATATATATATATACATATATATATATATATATATATATATATATATATATATATATATATATATATATATATATATATATATGTATATATGTATGTCGTACCTAGTAGCCAGAACTCACTTCTCAGCCTACTATGCAAGGCCCGATTTGCCTAATAAGCCAAGTTTTCATGAATTAATTGTTCTTCGACTACCTAACCTACCTAACCTAACCTAACTTTTTCGGCTACCTAACCTAACCTAACCTATAGAGATAGGTTATGTTAGGTTACGTAGGGTTGGTTAGGTTCGGTCATATATCTATGTTAATTTTAACTCCAATAAAAAAAAATTGACCTCATACATAATGAAATGGGTAGCTTTATCATTTCACAAGAAAAAAAATTAGAGAAAATATATTAATTCAGGAAAACTTGGCTTATTAGGCAAATCGGGCCTCGCATAGTAGACCGAGAAGTGCGTTCTGGCTACTAGGTACGATATATATATATATATATATATATATATATATATATATATATATATATATATATATATATATATATATGCAGAATAACCACATGTGAAAAAATAGAAAATACTTAACGCGTTTTCGGCTAATTCGCCTTCATCAGAACAAAGTAGAATGAAGATCTGATTGCTGATCAGACCTTTATATCCTCCTGGGCAGATCACCTGACCACCAAAAATAAGCGGAGGAAAGGAATTATAAGAAAGAAGGTAACTGCAGAATGCCTATTGGCCCATAAGAGGCAGCTCCTATTAATATCTCCAAGTGCCATACGTGTTAAATTATTGTTATATTGTTTTGACGTGCTATATTGAGGCTTAAATAGGGATCCAACTTATACATACCGGGGCTCACATTGAGGCTGTTGTTACAATGTTTGATCAGAGCAGACTCGATCACGTTTCGTTCAACAAAATCCTTATTTTTAACAATACATTTTGCCCCTGTGAATTCGATAGAATGATTACATAAACTCGAATGTAAATACAATGCACTGGATTGCTGGGCTGTACGAATAGCATATGAATGCTGTTTTAAACGCGAGGAAAGAGATTTACCTGTCTGGCCGATGTAAACACATGCACACTCATTACAAGGGATGGAATACACACAACCTGCTACAGACGAGGGCGAGTTCATAATTAACATGGACTTAACTGTATTATCATTTTTGAACACTAGATTAATATTAAGGTTCTTCAGAGCTGGGGCAAGATTTACTAGACCTTCAGAATACCAACGAATTTTTCAGTTCTGGTTTAGACTTAGTAGTCTGTTTTAGAAAGTCCTTTTTGCTTGACCAAACGCAAGATCCAAGATCGATTTTGGGTATTTTAACTTCTTCCCAATTTCAAATATATTTGCTATTTCTTCATCGAAAAATTCCGGACTGCAAACTCTCAGTGCTCTGAGAAACATACCAGAAAAAACTGCCCGCTTGACCTGAACATGATGATTTGAATAGAAATGTACATACGAGCACACATTGGTAGGTTTCCAATACACATTGAATTTGAAACTCCTACCAATTCTATGAATCATGATGTCTAAAAAAGGCAGAACACCATTCACTTCGTTCTCAATTGTGAATTTAATTGACGGAACCAGCGAATTAATTTGATTGAGAAAATCAGTTTCGTCATGATTAACCGGCCACAGGCACAAAATATCGTCAACGTACCTGTACCAAAGCAAATTTGAGGGTAAAATCCTGGGAAGGATATTTGTTTCAA